TCAGAACGTTTGCGTTTGTGAAGATTTGTTGAGGCTTGCCAAGCGTGTGGACGCGCCACAACATTTTGAACTGATCATATTTATTATTTCAGTAGATACATGCTCAATGCACTAAAAATGAAGGAAAGGTCACTATGAACAGTTCTAGACTTGTTGTAATGGAGAGCAAAAGCCTGGCAAGTGTGTCTAACAATCTTATGAAGTGACAGTATCACACAGGAGAGCTCAGAGAAACGCAACAGCATTGTATACTCATTTGAGTAGTGACAGAAGCCTTGAAAGCACTGAACTGTACCAAATTCGTATGCCGCCATTCTTCAGACAATGATAATTTCCAGGTCCTCAGTCAAAGATAAAATCGTTTCCGGCTTTCGCTCCAATTCATCTGCAGATGAAATGGGTCAGCCGCTATAATGCCCGCATGCAGAGTGCTGTCATTCTCAGGTCATGGTAACTTCCAGGTTATCCGTCAATCACAATCTTCTTCTCTTCAACTCATCTGTAGAGATGGGTCGACCTTTTACAGAGTCTAAATTCAAAGGGCTGCCATCTGCAGAGCTTCGAATTTACGAGCCCTGTCTCAGTGAAGTTGGCTCAACGCCCCAAAACATGATATTTGTGAATTTATTTAAGGGCTAATTAAAATTTTATTTCATATATAATATTTTTGGTTTCTTTTAATGTTTATGGAAAGATAACAAAACCGGCGCGGCTATTTTTAAAGCGTTTCGAATTGTCCTCTTCACAAAATGACTTATGTATAGCTAAATACATGATGGAGACAACTTAAGTTGAATAGTCTGTTTATTCGATTGAATAAAATATAGGTAGGTTTTTAAATCAAATGATAACATTTTACGTTGCTAAGAAGCTGATTTTTGACGTTTAAATCAACTTTCAATGCATCGGTGTTGTAAGCAATTGAAAATGGATCGTGGTAAAGCTGTCTCTGACGAAATAACAAAAGTGATCATTTACTTGCATTTAAAAGGTCAAAATGCTGACAGTCTTAACAAATCAAGGTGAGCAGTTCGAAATATTATTAAATTGCACAAAACAACGGGATCTGTGGCTCAGAAACCCAGAACTGGAAGTGGCCCGCGTTATTCCAATACCACCTTAAGAGCCCTAAAACGAATTATCAATGAAAATCGGCGTGCTAATTATAACAAATTGATGTTAAAATGATTTTCGAGCAGTCCAGATTTATCACCGATTGAAGCCTTGTGGCATATGACGAAGAAAAAGCTCCCATCGAATCCCACAAGAACCGGTCCGGAATTGCGAACCCTTTTCCAAGAAATTTGGAATAGTTTTACACTTCCAAATACAGGGTGGGCTATCCGTTGGTTTCTTTTTTTAATTGGTATTAAAACTACACTCTTCAATAATATGTAACGTTCGATACTTTATTTAAAAGAATACACCTTCCGGTTACTTATGGAAAACAATTTCACTTAAATGACTGCCGCGGCTGGCCTGGCAGTAGTCCTTCCTCTTAACCCAATTTTGAAGAACATTTTCGATAGTTTGTGGGTGTATTTCATCAACAGCTCGACGGATATTTTCCTTGAGAACATCAATTGTTTGAGGATTGTCAGTGTAACAGCGGTCCTTAACATTACCCCATAGGAAGTAATCTATGGACGTCAAATCGCAGCTGTGGGTTGGCCAATGAACGTCTCCAAAACGGGTGATAACGCGATGACCGAACTTAGTGTGTAAATGATCGATTGTTTCACGGCTGGTGTGGTATGTTGGGCCATCCAGAGATTGTGCAAGTGCATGTCGTCTTATAGTGGCCACAAAAAACTCCTCAACGTGTCTCTATAGCGTTCCCCATTTACCGTCACGCTGTTACCATCTTTATCTTGAAAAAAGTAGGGACCAACAATCTCACCACTCCAGAAGCCACACCAAACAGTTACTCTTTTTGGATCCATTGGTTCTTCTATGACGACATGTGGATTTGCAGAACCCCAAATCCTACAGTTCTGCTTGTTAACGTAAGATTGACGTCCGTTTCCAATTAATTTAGAGCCCACACAGAGAAACGATATCGAAGCGGATGGTAATTTTGTTTCAACTCTTGCACAAGTTGCACCTTGTAAGGAAATAATCCCAGGTCATTATGCAATATTCTACGCACAGAGGTGCGACTGATGGTCACTTGTGTTCTGTGACGAGTTGACATTCTTGCGTTTTTACACTCTGGGCAACAGCAGCAATCTTTTCGGCTGTACGTACTAGTCGAACACGCTTATACCTTCTGTTACCCATAAGCAGGCCGGTTTCACGAACCTTTTTCACGAACTTTCGTATCCCAGTCGCGGACGGAGCTTCAATCCGACCAAATAGTCTTCTCAATTTTCGCAAAGTTTCTGCAACACAGCACTTACTTTGAAAATAGCTTTTCAATATTTCTCACCTTTTTTCAAGATTAAAACGATCCATTGCTCACAGCGGATGTTTGACACAATACATCTGTTAATATGCTGAGCATGGAACCCAACTAACAATTATCACTCCTATTAGAGTTGCAAGAATGATTATACAGTATTCCCCAACTAACAATTATCACTCCTATTAGAGTTGCAAGAATGATTATACAGTATTCCTTAAACAGCATTGTATACTGTAAGAACATTAGCAAAACCCTCTTAGTGCAGCTATACAAGCGGAATGGGCACACCTAATAGGACACTTCAGTCATTTAAGAGGTTGTATAAGGGCTGCAGGTAACAGTTATAAAACAAAAGTGTAAGCCTCTTGCAGCCGCTATAGGACATTTGCGTCAGTGCAAGATTCAGTTTTTGTCAACTATACAACTATTCTCTTACGTGATTCTACTTCATTGCAACAAAACTATTTCCTATGTATTGTATAGACGAAGTGAAGAATATATAACTAACACATTGCAGTCATCTTGTTTACTTACATATCGGCCATTGTGAATTTCATACACAGGTATATGATAAACTTCTACACTTTGATATAGGGCTATTGAACTACTTGCGCAGCAAATTTTATTGTGATTATCGTGCAAATTAGTTACCCAATTTCTACGGGCTTCGTATTTGATTCATATTTTGACAATGATCAAAACTATGTCTAGATTTTTACGATGGAAAACTGAACTTATCTGCGTTAAATCTTCCACAAATCCTATCTTTAGACACAATTACACTAATGTTTATCACTTTATATCTGTAATTTCGAACTGAAACATAATTATTTAATATTAAATAGAGGAATAAATGTTTGCCCAATATGGCGGGTGGTTGTGTACAATCATGGCATCGTCCATGTTGTCTTTAGGTTATTAGAATATTTTGGTGTTGCCTGCAGGTGTTATACAACAATTTGACAAATGTCTGAAATGAAATACCGACAGAGTCGAATGATTTACCCAGAATTTGTACCAGATCTGTATCTTCTGTTTGAACAGTTGATAAAACCTTTTGAACCGATATGCATACGTTGTTTGTCTTAAAACACTGGTTATGGCATTTTAACAAAAATATGACAGCAGAAAGTTAGGTTATGGTGAAGTTGTTTACCAACATATTTAGCATATGTAACAGTTGTATAAGTGCATGGGTGCCAAAACACAACCATTTTGACTAACTTGCAAATATGCCGTATAAAATAGTTGTATAAACGTTTATGCAACAGTTAAAAATTTGCCCTATAAGGTGTTGTATAACTATGCTATAGGAATATTTTAAACACCTCATTTTAGGCCCGTATCGTCAGTCGTCCCTACAATTGTAGGGCGCCTTTATGGCCTCCTTGATTGTCATAGCGTTCTACTTCTCCGTGTCAGCGCTCTATTTTGAGGTTATGTCACAAACATCTATTTGCATCAAATTGTGCTTGCTTTTGAGTTGTATCATGTTTTATCAGCCTGAAATTTCCTACAATTTAAGAAGAAAACATATCTTCACAATAGGATAGCGCTGACGCTGACACGGGACAAGTGTAATCTAGAAATCTTTGAAGGAGAGAAAGGAGTATCACAATCAAGGAGGCCATAAACGCGCCCTACAATTGTAGGGACGACAGACGATACGGGCCTTAGAGCAAATATGTTGCAGAAAGCGAATTTGCATTCCACACAACATTAAGCCAGCATTTTGGTGTTCAGGCAACAACAATAGAGAGCTTTTATGGCTGAACGGTTCTTTTACCAAAAGCTTATACCACTACTTTGCTAGTTGGGAAGTGTCACCAACTGTCAAAAAAAAATACCAAAAACCAACTGATGGCCCACCCTATATTAGTTGTTGATGTAACGCAGTGGTGATTTGCTACTATTTGGTTTCGATGATTATTATTAATCGACAGTTGTTTTGAACTTGTAAGAGATGTTTTTCTTTGTTACAATAAAATGTAGTATTTTAGGCTAATATTAAATAAAAATATCTTATGTTATCAGAAATACATTTTTTAATACGTTTCCGCTAATATGACACATTTTCATAATGAAACTAGTTTTGCTAGTTGACTCACTCACTGAGACACATCTCGTACTTCACTGTACTGGAGAAAATATGTAAGTGTCGAACAGAAATACCCTCAGAGCCAAAACCGATCTGTTCTTAATGTCACGTTATTTAAAAAACCATTTGACTAGAGCGAGACATTACAAAACTGCCTCAACAATAATAACTTGGAAAATCGCAAATATTTCTTACTAGTTGACCTCTTCAATAAAATGAACAACTAACAATAAAACAAGAAATGCAACGAATAAATAGAGACAGAATGAGTTCATGAAAACTATTTGTAAAAATGCCCAATATGTTTTCCTTCTATAACAACATGCTTTACGGACGCCTATGACCCATTTAATTCCAACCCCACCACCTTGCTGAAAAAATATTGCGACCAGTGATCGACAGGTGCCACAATCACAGTTGACAGTGTCATTGAGTATCCCGACCTTGATCCAGAAGTGCAGTTAAAGTTGTATCACAGTTCCGAAAGCAGAAGCCAATATGGATATGGATATGGATTATATGTCAGAGGTCGATTTAAACGAGAGAGCTGACGTGACTCTAGACATAGAAGATTTGCCGAGCCTGCAAAACATGGATACTCTTGAACTGTACGAGCCAATTCGTAGAATTGCTGACGAAGGGAGACCGCCTAGAGGTGACATCTTTATCTTGGTGCCAATACGTCAGTTCATCTGGATGGTGAGAGTTATCAGCGATTATCTTACACATATTGCACATATCTATCGCAACCGAGCTTTAGAATACGACATTGAGGATAACATGACACCTCCACCATATCGCCCAAGAAGAAATAACCTACCTTCCTGGTTTGGAAATGAAGAGATTGATATATACGATGACGATCTGACTTGCTGTGTCAGTACCAAGGATGAATGCTGTGACGTCTTTCTTCTGATGGTTATGGTGTTCCTTTTGGCCTACATATCCTTCGTGATCGTCTACTTCAGCCTCCATTCTCCATGGAAATGTGGCTCCCAGTAAGAAGCATCTATTAGTCTTATTATTCAGTTTCAGTTTTCATTTTCTGTTAGTTTGGGTTAGGGAAAACTTGCAATATCAAGAGGATGGTAATTTGCCAGTTCATTTAGACACAACATACATTTTTTATAATATATACAATAATTGAACTTGTACAGACAGCAGACAGGTATTTTGTATTGGAAAGGGTGGTCAGCCTACAATACAACACTTAATTTAACACAACCAAGAATGCAAGAGAAAACAGTAAGATTTTTCCCTTAGATGTTTGTTCTTACACCTAAATGGGAGGTGCGATGCAGTTGACGCCGTGGATTAAAAAAAATGATATCATCCTCTTGATAAAGCTTGATTCATTTTATTGGTTAGGTTATTTTAATTTTTTTTATATGTCAATTTAACAGATGTGAAATCATTGTAATATGTTGATGTGGATTTGGATGTGTGTCTTTAACACACCACCTTAGCCGATTTTAGGGCCAAGTGCTTTTTCACTTGAGACATCCTTGTGATAGGTCAAATATATTTTTCAAAGAAGGCAGCCTTATTCGATCTAAGGCTTCTTTATTGCCTTGTTGCCATTTTGGTTTTAATGTCTCTAGAATACATATCCCTCATCAAGCGCAAATTATTTACCGATAGCCAGATGAAAAACCGTCTCAAATGAAAACGCCGCCTATTTTGATATTTGACAAGATTTCATTTGAAAGCTCCCTGTATATACTGGTGTTCTATAATTGTACCATAAATCCCACTTGGCGAAAATCAAGTCGCTGCCCTGATTTATGATACAATTAAAGGCCGCCTTGCGATGAGCGGATATTTTCTTCAGGATTTCAAGATGACTCTAAATTACATGGGGTGTGAATATTTAGGTCATGTTGAGAAATTGAAAAAAGTATTTACATTGTGTTATCATAAACATCACTGCAAATTGTATGTTAAACTTAAATGACAACTCTTAAAATATAATGCTTCATTATGTCAAGTGTCAGACAGTGCTCATAATAATTCTTCAAAACAATTTCTGTATCATAACACCTATACAGACGTAACATTTGTTCCTGCATTATATGCATTTCTTCGAAATCATCAGGGGACATTTTATCTTAAGGGTTGTCAGTAGCGCTTATCAAAAGGATCAATCAAATGTCTATCCTTGTTACTGTTTATTCCATACAGTTTTGTTCAATAAGATTCGTTTTTTTATAGATAAAATCTAATTGCTGACACGGATACACGTAGTTTATGATGCATCATCAAATTTCAATGTATTTCATATCGATCTCTCATACGGAATGTTATTTGAGTTACTATTTAGAAATAAAGTTTTGTATTACCAAGCGTTGGTTTCATTGTAGATATTGTACCTGTTGCACAACATATTGAATGCAGCTTTATTAATTATGGACCATATGTCGTACGCAATATACAGAAAAGGTTTCGTCAGTACTAACAGAAAAAAAAACTATTGACTGTAATGTCCCACTCAAAAGTAGCTTTACCTCTCCCTAGGTAAATATTGATAACAAACACCTAGGTAAATAGTAATAGTAATGTAATTCAAAACTGTATCCTGCTTAATAACTAAATTTAGGTGTAGTTCGTAATGTATACTGAGTGAAAAAAAAGATAAACACCTACGTATGTTTATCCGATTTTAATAATTTTTAGCATATATCGTCCCCCAAAGGACGAAGTGTCAAAACTGACATTTCCATAATTTTACAGGAGAGCTAAAACAAGAAAAAGGGTTCTCTTTGAGAATCTGGATGTCATACGATAAAAAGTGTATCACTCTACCAGTTTTCAAATGCAGCTAGCAAAATCGTTGTATGATGAATAGTTTTGAGAAAAAAATGGATAAGTCAGATACGTCATTTCGTGTTGTCAAAAATAATTCTTTAATGATGCGACGGAACATACGACGAAAAGACCCATACATCCTGATTTATAATCAAAGAAAGGGAGAGAGAAAAGTTCTTGTTAATAATTTTTATTGATAGAGGTAAGGCACTAATAAACAAAAAATATAAAAAATTCTCAAAATCTATATAAAAAAACTAAACCCAAACCTTATCATGAAGAAAGTCTTCATAAAATTTCTTTATTCCGGTAGTTTTGTCACGGGATTTTTGGCATTACATAAAGCAAGGAAGTGAAATTTATTATTAGAAACATTTATTGATGAGGCATATAGTGGCCGAACTGATATTTCACTATTTGCTGCGCCTCTTTTTAATTGAATTAAATCATACCCTTGTCTTAAATGGCTCATCTTGGAAAATATTTTATCTTGGTTTTACTTATTAACTTTAACTTCATGATGTCTGTCCAGCTAGTCGATCTTCCTGGAGCTGTAGCATGTATGGATAAAATCCTCAAATTCTTAGACAAAGCTTTAAAATCCATGAAGTCTCTAAAAGTTAGGGGACATACTTTATATGAATGTTTCCGTCTTGCCAAACTGATAATCGGTAATAGCTGAGACGGCTCAAAGATATCCCGTGCTTTTAAAATTGCATGAGAAATGCTGCTGTGGGCAGAATCCCCTTCATTTATTCCATGGTTTGTAACAGAGAGTCTTAAAGCTATCTCCACCAGCGATGGAAGGGTTCTCAAAGCATACAGGAGCATATCGACAACTATAGTGTTTTCATTCTGGCTATAGCACCCATAAGAAAATAAAAGAACTTTTGTTTTATCCTGCCTGGAATATTCCTCTAAAATTTTAAAAAGGTAGGTCGCTATCTCCGAGGGTCCTCTCTTACCTGCTGTTTCATGCCACACAAAGCAATAACAATCTTTACTAGCTAAATCATATAAAGTTCAAGCAGTACATCATCGCGGTAGAAGGATTAGGAGACCAGAAGATCACGAGGTCGTATCTGCAAATAAACTTAGATACAACAGTTCGTGACTTTCTTTGAATGCGCTAAGGCAGATACGTTGAAATCATATATTAAAATTACTCAACGTTGGTTGAAAATTCAGATTCGACACCTTGTGAGAAGGAAGTGGCGACTTTATAATGCTCATATCTGGCCTAACTCAAATTTGCAAAAAATGTCAGATACGACACTTCGTGTTTTGGGGGACGATATGTTCAGTGTTTCTTACTAGTAAAATGATTAAATTTTCAGCTTGATTCGTCAACTGACTGCAGAAGCTGGTTCAATAATGTGATTTCTTATACACTCATTGGCCTGGGTATCGTGCTCATAAGGTGGTCGACATCCTGTTGGATTATCTCATTCCAGGCTACTGCAACTTCCTGATTAAGAGCTGCTAAGGCTGTGGAGGGTGTTGTAAATTTAAAAGCCTGCGACCTATCATGTCCCAGACATGTTCAATTGGAGATCGGTCAGGCGATCGTGGTGGCCAAGGTGAACGGATGATGCGATGATGATCCATGAAGGCTAACGATGCTCTGGCAACATGCGGTCTGGCATTGTCTTGCTGAAAAATCTGGTTTTGGATGGTATTTAGGTATGGAATAAGATGAGGCTCCACTACTTCCTGCATATAGCGTCGGGCTGTCATATTGCCTCCGATGAAAATTAGTGGTGATTTGCTACCATAAGCAATAGCACCCCATACCATAACTCCCACGGTGTGGTGAACGTGACGCTCTCTGTCAAATTGTGAGTCACGTCTTTCACCACTTCGCCTTCTCACCCTTGCCCGACCATCGTGCATCCCCAGACAGAAGCGGGATTCGTCACTAAAGACCACCTGATTCCATTCCCCGAATGTAATATGCTAATTGATATTTTAGAATCAAACTATTTGCGTCCTCTGAACTGTGGACTGAGTAGTCGGGGCAGCATTTCTCTAAACACCAGAGTAGTATTCCAAACCGGGTCTTATCCGAGCTTTGTATAGAGATAGCCTATTTCCTTGAGAATCGGTGGCAATATCTATCTATCAATTTTGAATCCGACCTCATCTCTAGAGTCATGCCAATTCAGAAGGGTGTACCGCTGGGACTGATTTTCTTCCTCTTATACAGGGTGGCGTATCGAAAACGAAACAGACGCATTTACTGGCAGCTCAGTTTTTTTTCTGGAAAAACGCTCAGACCCGTCGATTTTGTTTTCGAGGGGGACACAAGTTTGGCAAAAAATCAGGTTAACACGTGCAGCCCCCTCGGCGGGGGTGACACCTACCCTAAAATCTTAAATGGAAAGGGGGGTCGAGTGATACCTTATGTTAAAGGTCTTTCAATTCCCTTTATAATGATATGAAATACATGAGCCTCAGTTCAGTAGTTTTGAAGATTTATTGATTTAAAGCTTAAAGTAGACTTTAATAGGTACATCAGATTAGTTTGTACTACTTTCAGAAGAAATTTGACTAAAAGAATTTACTTAATAAGTAAATGCTTTTTTCACCACGCCCATGGTTTGTTTATTATTTTGTTGTTGAAAATAGCTATTGGAGCGTTTTTTGTGGCAAAAAAGTTATTTCTTGAAGAAAGATAAGGAAATACCTCGTACTTATTTTAAATAGGAATTTAGTACATAGTTTGCGATTGATTCAACCAAACTTTGTTGCTAAAATAACTTGTAACGCTTTATTACATAAATTAACCATGGTATATTCCACAGCAGAAAGAGTTGAAATTATCGAAATATTTTTCGGAAATTATCAGTGCGCTAATAGAACAGCAGAAATATTTAATAAGCGACATGACAACAGTAAGGTGCATCGAAAATATGTTCTAGAACTTGTAGCTAAATTTCGGGAAACTGGGTCAGTCGCCAATAAAAACCGCATCATTGAAAATTCCATAAGGAACGAAGCAATAGAAGTGGGGGTTTTAGCGCAAGTTTATGTAGATCCTACGTTAAATACCCGCAAATTGGAGACTGTGTTCCTTTTTCTTAAATGGCATAGTAAATCGTCATAACTTCCGATATTGGTCCGATTCTAATCCCAGAATTTATCATGAGGTTCATACACAGCAGCCACAAAAATTAAATGTTTGGGCTGGTATTCTT